AATGTCACTCTTGGCAAAAAAACTCATTAACAAGATAATCCATTATACTTCCTCCTTCAAGAATTAATTGTTCTATACTTGAGAGACAAATTCCATTATAAGAACAATATCAAAGCCAGAAAAAGAGTTTAAAATTGGAAAGAATTGGTATCGAAAACCTTAACTACCAACTTTCAAGGAAAAAGTGTTAGTCCCGGCCCCCCAAAGCAGCCTCGAGCTGCCTCGCCTCGTCCAAAAAATGTGGGTTCACATTTCAGGTCCACGGGAGATCTCCATGGATCTGCGCCCCCCCTGTCCTAGCGTGCGGTACGGGGAAGTCGTTGCCCCCATCGTGGCAAAGTGTGGTATCAAAAAGATGGAAGAGATCTTGCCACACGCACTCAAGCTTGTTGGGTTGTGATTATAGAAGGCCGTTGTCACGTCATCAACTATGTCCTGCATATTTCCTCACTCCTTGATTTCTGATGCAATACTTGCAACGAATGCAAAAATCCAAGGTAAAAGATGCTAAAATGCAGGCTTTGTGCTGGCTGCCACTCAACAATTACTCTCTAAACTTACCTGGTACATTCCACCTCGATCTGCGCTTGAATCGGTTATTTTGAGTGCGGCTTTGCCCCATCGACTTGGAACACAACGTGTTTCTTCAAGTGCTTGTAAACATCTCTGATGGTGGGGAAGACTTTTCCACCAGCATGTCCCTCAAAGCGTTTTCATACACCGAAAGCAATTTCAATTCTGCCTCTCCAGCGGCCCTATGCTTGCTTGAATGCACCGCGAAGCCCTCCCTCACGAATGGCCAGATGTCAATCAATCCATTGAACTTGTTCCCATTTGGCCCCCTAGGGGGCCCACAAGCTTGTGGGCCACCCTATAGTAGTTAAGAGCATCGTTTACTTTGTGAAAGCTTTGTTCTGTGCCTTGGGAGCACCAGTATGTCCATCTTATGGCAGATCCCAGATTTCCTGTGTGTCTTTGATCACATAGTACCATTTGTCATCGATGTGGAGCGTGTTTGCAAAATCGAAGAATTCCCACTTCCGGCCAGCTTTTCAGGTGTGGCCAACCATCCAGCGCAGCCTATCGAGACTCTGCTCTTGCGCGAGACACGGCTTGATGCACCGGCCCATTTTTCTCACGCCTATTCTCCTTGTGCTCAAAAACTGTCTATTTCGGCAAATCTGTTTTGGCAGCCAATTCCCGAATCTTTCGCCCCCTAATTTGGGAGATGGCCAACACCTTCGATCGCACTAGCATTGGGACTCCTCCCACAGCTGCCCTGACGGCAGCGACGGAGGTCGAAAACTCCTGGCCCAGAAATCTGGGCCCGAAATAGGTAGCTCCGATTCGCCGAATCGTCTTTGAGTTTTTGCAGAGTGAAACCGTGGCGAGTTCGGCGATCAGGCTGCGGCAACTCCTTTTTTAAAAAGGACAAAATTTGTCACCTTGCCTCTTCATCGGGAACTCCCCGACGTTCAGTCTGCACGGCGTTGAAAGCTCTGTATAGGCCGCTTTGTTTCGCCGCTGGGAAAGCGCGCTCATTAGCATCGAGAAATGGCCGTTCCGGTAACTTCGTTGAAAACCGGGTGGTTTTCTGGCTGGAGGACCCTTGTTGTAAAGTATTGCCAAACTCTCAATGCGTAAAGGATCGACTTGAAATTTTGACCGTGCACTCCTAAACCATGGACACAACTTTCAAATAAATCTCATTGAAAACCGATTTGCCCATGATAGAGAAATAGGGCGCCAAAATCACGGAGGACAGTTGATTCCGGATGGAAAAAGTATATACATAGATGCAGAAGTGCTGTCTACTAGTGCTTGCTTTGTATTGATGATGATGTACGGGTGAAACTGGCCGTACCATGTATTCCACAGGGCAGTACATCGCGGTTGCTTGATTCAGGTCACTATGCTGGTGGGGAGCGATGAGGGCCATTATTTTCTGGAAACTGATCCAGCGGGCGACTGTGCCTTTGAAAGCCATCTCTTTGAATATGATTGGTATACTTGAGGGACTGAAATGGATTGGTTTTATTTCTGGCGTTTAAGAGGCGCTTAAGTAGTTCCAGGGCTCTGAACTAGACTTGAGACCACATTGTCCCCACCTCTCGAGCCCAGGGACATTCCGCAAGGTGGGCCGTTGAAAATACACAAGGAGTTTGCATGCACTTCAAAACTCTCAACGATGAGCGCCATGAGCAGCTGAACAACAGGAATTCAGCGGCATGCAAAAACATGGTTTGTGATTCAGCATTTTAGTTGCCTAGTGGCCTTCGCTTTCAGGAGCATAACCGCAACATGGTTTTGGTGTATGGAATCTTGAAGGCCGGCTGCTTGCGAGGACCAAGTTCTGGAGCTGGTTGCTGAGTCAAGCGCGCCAAGGCCTGCAAGCACAATGTTGTTGGGGTTTTTAGCACAATGACTCTTCGGGCGCTACGCTGGCGTTCGGCGCAGGGTAATCCAGCTGGTGACTGCCGATGCGATCACACTACATTTTTGCACCCTTGCGGGAACATAAGGAAGCCCGTATGCAGGACTCGAAACAATCGTACCGTAGAAAAGCAGACGCGCAGAGGGCTGGAAAGCAAGCATTATGGAGTTAAGTTCTCTTCCCCTGCAGCACTGTCGTGGGGTGTGAGTTTGAAATTCTCAAGGTACAGCGGGTTGCGTGGATGGTTGCGATGCCAATGGTTTGATGGCTTCCAATGGTGGTGGAAATTATCCCAATCATTGTACGTACGATTGCCCGATTTGGTGTCATGCTGGCACAGGTAGTCTGCAAAAGCCCACGTGCGTATCCATATGGCAGTGTATTCTTTTGCTTCCCGTTCGGTTCCACGGGAGCACATGCAATTTCAGGAACGCTGATGTTGGCATCGGCACGCATTGAAAATTGTTCGAGCATTTGTTGTACCTTGCATGCAAATGCGTGCTTTCCTACACAGTAAACTGCGCAGCCTTTATTACCAAAAACCGCGCATTACAGGCAATAACGCACAAGCTGGTGATCCACATGTACAAAGCACAGAAGAGCAGTGAACAACATTCGAAAACAGCGAAGCCTTTGCCCGTTTGAAAGGTTGTGGGCGGCGCTTCAGACCGTGTCCCAGTGACTCTGTCCACGTTGTATTCTGGGGCTCCGTGCCAATCAACTTCAATACAATCGCAATGTCGTCCTTATGTGCAGCTGCATTCATTGGGTCGCATTCGAACTTCGAATTTCGAAGCACAGAGGGCACATGAAATCGTGCTGTCCTGTATCTCCCCCTCTGCACGTTTTTGGGCATCAACTTCTGGTGCATTGGGCGCCGGTTGAGCTTGCAGCGTTGTAGGCGAGGACCTGGATTTTTGACCGAGGGATTTGGAACGAATGAGCCGATTGGGTACAGGAATTGGAGGTGACCAGATGGGACACGGGCGCGAATGACCACGACAACAAGGGCAGCATAATGGTGAAGTTAAGGGAAAAGGAACCCTCACGAAAGGGCAAGGCTGAGCAATCGAAATTAAAGTCTGTTCCTTCTGTTCATCCAAAAACTTGGTGTTCGAGGTGGAGCAGTTGCTCAGTAAAGCCATTTGCAAAACACCATGTCCCACGAAGAAACTCAGATGAATCTATAAAGTGCATGAAAGGCTTTCTCAACCTGACACCCACACAACTGCCTAAGAGCCAGTACAAGGATGAGCATGCTTTGGACATCGCCATGCTGCCCCAGGGAAAAGGGTAGCAGCACAAGCCAGAACAAAAGAAGTGTTGGGCAGGCTGAAACCCTCCCTGGTGGGTTCCCCTTTGACAACAGCGGCATTTGCATTTCTGTGCCTTCATTCATCGGGATGTAAGTCTACCTCACAGCCACCCATTCAAGAACCAATTGTCCTGTTTGTTGCCCAGACGTGCAGGGCAGCCATCGAGCAGATTGAAGTGCATGGGTACAAGTGAAGCTACACATCCCAACACTGCCATCTGTTGTTAATTCCCAGAGGAAGTCGTGCACTTCATTGCCAATAGCCCAACAGCAAGCTTGGAGGCATCACTGGATGTGTTTTGAGCAACACGGATGCCATTTTGCTGACTGTTTAGGAAAATGCGCCAGCTGGTTGTTAGGACTCCGACAGCCAGGAACAGACTTCAAAAGAATGGCGTTGACCTCTGGAAGAAGCCTGTTTCTGCAGGATCCCAACAAGTAAAGGTAATGAAATGCCACACCATAGCTTGGTGGGGCCAGAAACAAGGTCATTTTCCGAATGCCAAAGATCCTCTTATTATTGCTGTTGTTGGCCCCTGCCTGGGCATCTCAAGCAAAAGCGCATTACAAGCTTGAAAGCTGAGCAATGTCCAAGGCATCTTGGGCAACCTGAAGAACCCGTTGAGCAGAACTGCTTCACAGTGGCACGGTGGAGCATTTGTGTGAGCTTTTGCCTCAACTCACTATCAGCAGGCAATAGCATATCCAGCAACAATCGGCACATTTTACAATCAACGTTTTGATGAACCCCATTTCATGTCTAGTAGGCCCTGTGATTGCTTCCACCTTGTCCTGCTCCCTTTCATGTGGCCAAGCATCCTGTTGTCAATGCAATCACCAGGGACTTGTGTGTTATGTGGAACCATACGCAGACATGCAACTGACCGCCCCCTGGCAGAACCCTTTGGGCGCACGTGTATGCGCCTTGGCCCACCCCAGCCCCCACCTCTCACTCTCGTGTCACAATCATCAGGCCAACCTAAGCTAAACACCCCAGGGCCACGCTCTGGGAAGGTGGGAAAACCGACATTCTGGTGAGCGAGCCTCCAACCCCTCCGTGTTTCCAGGGCCAGTTCCCCACATTCCTTGGACACGCGACGCAGCCAACAATGATGACGATTGGGATCCCAAAATTTGAGCGGCACCATGCCTTTTCGAGCCACCCATGGCCCCCCAAGCTCAAGACACATCCCCAAAAGAATGATTCTGACAGCCGTTCCCGCTGGGGACTTCCCGAGGCGTCCCGCGGCCTCACTCCTCAAACGGAGCGAAGATGACCGCCGAGTTGTGGCCGCCGAACCCAAACGAGTTCGATATGGCGGCGGTGACGTCCAGCCGCTTCTTCTGCCCGGGCACCGTGTCGATCGCCCCCACCTCGTCCACCAGGTCATCCTGGTTCAGCGTGGGGTGCAGCCAGCCCGTGGTGATCGCCTTGATCGTGGCCACCGCCTCCACGCCCGCCGCCGCCCCCAGGCAGTGCCCGATCATCGACTTGGTCGCGTTCATACTCATCGACCCGTAGTGCGGGAACACCTTCTGCAGGGCCGCCACCTCCGCGACGTCCCCCACCACCGTGCTGGTGGCGTGGGCGTTGATGTAATTCACCCTCTCCGCCTCCACGCCCCCGTCGTCCAGCGCGGCCCGGATGCAGCTCGACACCCCAGACCCGTCCGGCCGCGGGTCCGTCATGTGATGGGCGTCGCAATTGGTCGCCCCGCCCAGGTACTCGCAAATAATCTTCGCCCCCCGGGCCTGTGCGTGCTCCAGGCTCTCCAGCACCAGCACGCCGGCGCCCTCGCCCATCACGAACCCGTCCCTGCCCGCATCCCACGGCCTGGACGCCTTTTCCGGCTCGTCGTTGCGCGAGGACAGCGCCCGGCAGGCGATGAATCCCCCCAGGCTGACCTGGGTCACGGGCGCCTCCGTGCCGCCGCAGACCATCACGTCCGCGTCACCGCGCCTGATGTGGTTGGCCGCGGAGACGAAGGCGTAGTTGGCCGTGGCGCAGGCGGTGGAGATCGAGTAGTTAGGGCCCATGAAGCCCTCGTCGATGGCCAGCAGCGCGCCGCCCATGTTGGTGATCGCGAAGGGGATGAAGAAGGGCGACATGCGGCGCAGGCCCGCAGTGTTCAGCGTCGTCACGGCGCTCTCGAACACTGACAGGCCGCCCATCCCCGACCCTATCAACACCCCCACCTTACCCTTGTCCACCCTGCCGTAATCCCCGTCCTCCTGGCCCGAGTCCAGCCCCGCGTCCTGCAGCGCCTTGCGCCCCGCCACCGTGGAGTATTTCCAGCAGTCGTCGTACCGCCGCAGGTTCTTCTTGCTGATGAGGCCCTCTGCGTCGAAGTCCCTGATCTGGCCCGCGAACCTCACAGGAAACTCGCTGGCGTCGAACCGCGTGATCTCCGCGATGCCGCTGCGGCCCTCCAGCAGCGCGTCGTAGTACGCGTCCACGTCGTTGCCGTGGCACGAAACCACCCCCATGCCAGTCACGACCACGCGCTTCTTGGGATCTGTGGCGCCATTCGCCACGGCGGCCCTGACCTGGACGCATGGCTGGCGGGCCGGCCGGCCGCTGCACGTGGGTGGCGAGGATGGGCAGCGGGAGGCCGCTCGTCGGGCTGCCAGGGGGCCGGGGCCGCGGCGCGCCTGCGGCTGGGCGGCGGGCGACGCCATGGGTGCGCAGAGGGCCCCGCCGTGGGCGATGGAGATTCCGTGCACGGGGGAGGGGTGAAGTCGAATTTCTATTTGGGAAAATGACGAAAGGGGGTCCTCTGTGATATATCTTGACAAAAGGGGGTCCTCTATGACAAAAGGGGGTCCTCTACGGGGGTGCATTTGACAAAAGGGGGTCCTCTGACCGCCCCCTGTACATTAGGCGCGGCACCAGACGGCGCCAGACCGACGCCAGTATGGCGCCAGACTGGACCACGGTCCTACCATGGCCGACCCCTATGGGAGGGCGCAAGGAGCACACAACGATCGGAGATGCGAGAGTCGTAGCGACCAGAGCGGCGAGGGAGACTAAGCGGTGATCGGGGTTGTGGGGAGAGCAAGCGGCGACCCAGAGGGTTCGCCCCTAGTAGGATTGTGGTCCAGTCTAGCGCCATACATGTTCCGGCACAGCTTCGGTCTGGCCCTGGTCTACCAAAGTGCCTAATATAGAAGGGTCGGTCAGAGGACCCCTTTTTGTCAAATGCACCCCCGTAGAGGACCCCTTTTGTCACAGAGGACTCCCTTTTATCAAGATATCTCACAGAGGACGCCCTTTTGTCATTTTCCCTTTCTATTTTCTGAGTTATAAAAGGTGTTGTTCGATGAGCCTGCAAAATGACCCCTTTTACAAGTCATCTTTGTGCTGAAAGGCCATCAGAAATGAATAAAAAGTTTAGAAATACAATAAGAATACTGAGAAAAAAGAGAAAACAAAAAGAAAAGAAAGATATAACAGCTAAATACCCAAAATATTAGGGAAATGTTGCCAAAAATTTTCAGATTATGGACAATAGTTTAGGGGTACGATGAAAGAACCGGGGATGTGAAAGGTTGCACCATGTGGATGTCGTGCCACCCCACTGCCCTTTTGTGCGTTCTGTGGCCTCCGGGGATTTTCTGGCCTTCCGCCAGTATAACCATCCAGACTATCCTCCTCCGCGGATGGAGAACCATATTGTCCGAGTTTGTGGAACATGCCAACACACAGATAATGAGATGGGAGGTCGTGCGGCCCTTTCCAATCGTGGTTCGTTAGGAGATTAAGCTCATAGTGCAATGGGTGAGGACGCAGGAGGAGGAGGGAGTTCTATTCCCCCTCGCTCAACTGTTCGACCTGGATGTTTGGAGGGATGAGCAGGATTTGCTCAAGAAAAAAGAGGAGGGAGAGGGGAGTTGATGCCACAGTGCAGGAGGGATATAGGGTGGTGGCGGTAGAGCTAGAGGTGCTGGAGGGAGCACGGGAGTAGGTAGAATTCACAAGAGAAATTGTTGTTTCATGGAGAGAAGATTGGTAGCCGACAGGGTTTATAAAGTTTAGAGAGTGTTGCGCGCCATTGGGAATGGGTGCGCTGCTATAACGCACAAGTTGTGGAGTTTGGAATCATCCAGAACACCACTATTGAGAACTTGTTGAAAGTGAAAGTTGCGATTAGCATGCAACATCAGTGCGGGCACTTGTGGACTCAGGAGTGCGTGGATGAGAATGGGCATTTGAGAAGCCCTGCGTAGCTTTGGGATTTTCTTTTTGAGAATCAACGCGATTTTGTGATGTTTTACAACCCAATTTTGAACCTTGGAATGCGGGAATTTGTAGTCCAAGCAAACTGAGAGTGGGGCGTGGCATGTGCCACAGGAATTCGGACCAAGGGAGTCACTCCCTGGGAGTGTGCATGAAAGTTTGAAGTGTTGGCTAAATTTCATTTTATATGTTGCCATGTTGAGCAGTTGTTGCGGCTCTGAAGAGCGCTGCTGGTTTCCGTAGCTTGCGGGGTCACCACACACTGTGGTTCAGCTGATGATGACACAGCCAGCCCTCTCCACCATAAATAGTGGGTGGTAATGGGGCGCTTGTTTTTCGGATGCGAGGTGGGCTCAGATGCAAAGGGGATCATTCCCAGGGGCCTGCTATATACGGCGGGTGGTGGTGTAGCCAGGCAGTGGCTTGCTAGTCCAACAGATGAGGCAGTGGGCCAAGAGTCGACTACATGGGTGATATGCATGCGCCTGTTTCAAAACCCGCACGCGAGCGAGGCCCGATCACGGGTCCCTCGTAGTCAAATCAAGACAGGATAACGTACAATAATAAGTAACATATTCTAATGTGTTATGCGCATGTGTCCCCGCCCACCATTCATCTAAATCAACCTTGTGTAATCCCCGATGCTTCGACGTCCTAGTCCAAATCCCGCACTAAAATATTGGAATTTTAAATGGCCATGACTTTACCGTTTCTACATGGAATTGAATATTTCAAAAGGTTATCAGTATCAAGAGCTTTTAAATAAACCGATTTTAGGTTATTTCACTTTTTTGACCAACCCTAGCTTCAAAATTGTCATTTTTAGCTTACCCCCAAGTAAAATCACCACAGCAGTTCTTGGGGGAGTTTTGGATTGGCTTCCGAGGGAGTTTCTGAATGTTTTCACTTGGAACCACTTTGAGAGCGGTTGAGGCAGGTTGTTGCCCCTCACTATTTATTTAAAGGGGTTGCCCACGTTGATACGTAAAGCTTGTGGGTGTGGGGTTCCTGCCCTCTTTGAGCCGCGGACCCGCCTCGCTGGGCACCTAGGTCCTTACGGGGACCTAGGTGGGACCACCCCTCCTACTCCCGTATCCTAATACCTAGAGCGGTTACCGTGGGTTGAGGATAAGTATCTTGGGCAGGGCGTCCCCCACACCAAGGGTCATTAGTAGGGCGTCCCCCACATCAGGCCGGTGCACGTAACACACATATTGTGGTCCCATCGGCAGCCGCTGGTTTCCGGAGGCATTGGGGGCGCCTTGCCCTGCCGCTCGGCTGTTGGAGGTAAGACGGCCCTCTCCACCTTGGGCAGTGGGCGTATCCGGGGCAGTCGCTCCTGTGGTCATGCGGTGGGCCCAATGCTTGACGGGGATCGATCCCCAGGGTCTGTTGTCGATGAGAGGTGGTGACGCAACACTACAATGGTTCACTGGCTTGCGGGAGGCTAGAGAGTGAACCAAAGAGCATTACCTGGATTCAACACATGTGTACGCACATATTGCATATGCGATACCCAATCGCAGGTCCATGGCTATCACATCAAGACAAGGCAACTTAAGTGCATGTCCAATCACCATGTCACCATCCCCCGTTTACCCACATCCGACCCGTTTCCCTCTAGACTTAAGTACTAGCCCTTATCCATCCACAACCCTAAGTACTACAACTTCAATGGGCCATCACTTCATCAACTCTTCACGAATTTGTATGTTTCAAAAGCCTAGGAGTATCAAAAGCTTGTAAATAAGCCCACCAAAGGTTGATTTGCAAAGAATACTAAATCCTACTTAAGAAATGCTAATAATGCTTAACCCCAAGCAGCCACGTTACACTACTCCCCTCTTGGGGTAGCTTTCGCCCCCAAAGCATATTATCCCGTACTAGTGTCTTCCTCAAGTTTGTCCCTCTTGTTCACCTACTAGAGCTCTCTTGCATAGGTGAAGTTTTTTGTAAGTATCCATGAGGCATCATTGATACTCCACCCTATCCATAACACCAAAAACTCCTTGTGCCTCCTGCCGGTGGAGCCTGCCCATCTTCATTGTAGCAACTTCTTAACTTTATATAGTTCATCAGCCTCTGGCTCGATCTCGGCATCCTCTAACTCTTGTAGGGCTAGGCATCTAGATAATCTGAATGATCGGAGCAAATTCGTGTGAAAGACATTATGAATCTTTCACCCTGCTGGTAGCTTCAACTCATAGGCCACTGGTTTCACCTGACGGACCATAGCAAATGGTCTTGCAAATCGTCACTTCAATTTACAAATAGGTCCATTCTTCAACTATAAATGCTCGGTATTGAGTAGCACCTGTTCCCCATTGTGAAACCTTTGTTCTTTGTGCCGCTGATCGGCATGATGCTTTTGCCTCTGCTGAGCCTGATGAACTAACTGCATCGCCATTCTGAAGGTCTTCTTCATCTTGTTGACAAAGATATTGACACCCTCATTGTTCATCCTTGATCAAGTCCAATGGGGTCACTGGCTCAAAGCCGTGTTTCATTAAAAAGGGTGTGTACCCCATGGACAACAATGCACTGTTGTTGATCACGAACTCCACCATGAGCAAGTATCTTTATCAATGGGTGACTCCCTGACTGCCATAGATTGTACACTTGAGGGCTTGCTCCACCACCCCATTGGTTGCCTCTGTTGGTCTATTTATCTATGGGTGGTGAGCGTTGGACATTCTCAATTTACTGCCTAAAATCTTCCAGAATTCCTGCCAAAAAACTTCGACACAAATTGTGGCCTCAATCACTAACTATTGATCTTAGGATTCCATAAAGTCATCCAATCTAGTCCCAGTAGATACGAGCTATCTCAATAGTAGTGAAGGTTTGCTGGACTAGTATTAAATGTATCATCTTGGTAGCTCGGTTTACAACTGTGAGGATCCCATCATTTTTTCTTTTACTAACCGGTAGACCCATGATGAAGTCAAGGCTAACATTGCTTCATGTATTATCTAGAAGCTGCAAAGGCTGCAAAAATCTAGCTAGCAACTAGTGGACACTTTTTTTGACTAGCAGACCTCATATCCCAGTATGAAGTCTCTAACATCTACTATGTGATCTGGCCAGTAAAAATTCTGTTGCAATTCTTTCAGTGTCTTGTGGTAACCAAGATATCCCACATATGGTATTGTATGTATCTTCTCCATAATCTTCCTGTGGATATCCTCCATATCTGATACCACCATTCTCCAAGGTTGCCTATCTTCAATATTGTCCTTCAACTTGAGCTCCATAAACCCATGGTTCAATCGTTAATCATGATTACCAATCTTGGTGACTCGGCTTTAGGCAGACTCCAATTGACTCAAAACTTCAACCCATTTGCTATCTTGTTTGAGACCCTCTTTTATAAATCCCCTTAAGTCTTCCTCTAGAGTGATTGTAGTGCTGATCACCAATAAAGAATGTAAAAAATTTTGCT